GGATGAATGGATAGATGATGAATGATGAATGGATGATGGATGAATGGGTGGGTGAGTAGATGGATGGATGGATGGATGATGAATGATGAATGATGAATGGATGGATGATGAATGATGAATGGATGGATGAATGAGTGGGTGGGTGGGTGGATGGATGGATGAATGGATGAATAGGTGGGTGGATGGATGGATGAGTAGATACATGGTGTGTGGACGGACGGACGGACGGACGGATGAATAGATGGATGGGTGAGTGGGTGGGTATATACAAAATTGTTTGTTTGTATCTGCTGGCCCTCCTCTAAAACTATTACAAACCCAAGACAATTTATTGTCTTCATTTAAACAGTTTAGGTTGACTAGGAAAAAAAACAAACCCAAATTTATGGCCATCAATCATCCCTGTTCTTAAATTCCAAAGTGGTCTTTTCTAGAGTGTCTACACGCACACTGAAAGAAGCCAGAGCTCTGGGAGGCTGGGCACAGCACCCACGTGAAGATGCATCAGAAGCTCCCTGTAGGCAGTAGGCTGAGTGCCACTTGCTAGACTTCAGGAGTGCCGAGGAAATAAACCCTCACTCGGGCTAGGTTACCAAGGCAATGTGGGTCCCTGATGGTGTCAAGACTTGTACCTGTTTCTCCCACTTGGCTCCTGGACTTAACCCAGTGAGTACGCACAGATCTTATGCTAAAGGACCACAAAGCTCTATCCGGGAACAGAAGTAAACACAAGACTGAGCTAGTGTCCATAGGAGGCCTCATGAAGATCACTTCCTGGTGACCCCAATTATTCTATTGGTAACCGTGACAATAAACACTGAGGGCACCCCTCCACGGAAATCTTAGCTAATATAGCTAGGGTCACACAGCACTTCCAAAGTAAGGCAGAAACCGTCTTCCTGTGTCAGGCTGCTCCTGAAGAGGGCCAGGCCTGGAGAATCTGCAGCTCTACGGAGAGAGACGTTTGAGAGTGACACAAAACCCTGCAGTCCAAGCCCTAAGAGCTTCATCAGTACCTGCAGAAGTGTACAGGTCCACTCCAGGCCTGGGCTTTGGCTGACATTGAAGCATGGGCCTCCACCTGGTTTGCTGGGTGCTCACTGGACTTTACTCAGGGGTCTCCCAGCTCCTCCAGCCTCCCACCCCCGCTACCACTTCCTCTTCCTTTTAGTAAGTAGAAAACTCATGGAAGTGGCAGGAAAAGTCCTGGCTGCTATTTGGTGCTTCAGAGCATCCCAAAGAGGAGACAATAAGGAAGGGATCCTGGACCACAGAAGCCCAGCAAGTGCCACTGAGTCATGGCCAGGGGCCGCCAATTCAAGAATAGGCAGCTATTTATGGTGGTACATACCTGCAATCCCAGAACTCGAGAGGCTGAGGCAGAAGGATTGCAACTTCCAGGTCAGCCTGTTGCAAGAGGATCTTTCAAAAGTAAACAAGTAAACAATAGAATAACAGGATGAGAAGTGTGTGCTGATCCCTTCTGGAGCAGGGAGAATGCTGGGAACATAGTGACCTTGCTGACTTTCATTCATTCATCCATCCATTCATTTGTTCATTCACCCACTTTGCATGCACTGGCTGCCGGCTGGGTACGGATGCAGCTAGGTACATAAAAACTGAAATCTGAACCCAACAGATGGGACCTTTGCCCCCAGAGAGCTTCCCTTCTAGCTGAGCCTACAACTGTGCAGGCATCTTGTCCAACAAAAATGTGCTGAGTGCCCAAGTTATGTCAGAAAATTGAATGCATGCAGAAAAAGGAAACTAAACCTTAGATGCACATAACTCTACCCTAAGCCAAAATGTTAAAGAGAAATTTCAATTGACAAACTGAATTACTGGAAGCGGTTTGTCTCTAAATTCTTCACTGGGAACTTTTACAGAGAGTCCACACCAGCCATTGGCATGCACCTTCTGAGGGGGTCCTTTGCAGCATGGTAGCAGGTGTGAGTTGTGAGACACAGCCCAGACACAAGCCTCCTCCACTTACCCTGTGCCCCACCTGCGACCTGCCAAAGAGCACCTCGGAGGCATCAAGCCCGTCGAAGTTCCGGTTGGCAGGCAAGCTGGCTCCTGCCAGGGTTATCGCCGTGGGGAAGATGTCTAGTATGCTGCAGAAAGAACAAGACACAGTTTGTCTCAACTCCTCCAACTGTCCCTGGCTCTCCTGTGACCAAACCCCACCCTTAGCAGCACAGAGCAGAAGCAGACAGCCCAGGTTGTCTGTCTCCCTTTGGGATTCTACCTGGATTCCTGCTACAAGAGACAGGAAGTGGTCAGATGTTATACAGGCTCAGATTCAGCTAACCTAGCTAACATCCAATTCTGCAACTTCCTGTTCTGTGAAATGTGTGCTTTAATAACAAGAGCTGCCTCCCAGGGTGGATGCATGGGTAAAACAGGGAAGAGATACAGCTGGAGCCTGGCACTTGCTGGATGTTTGTCTTACGATGAGTAACAGGGTCACACCTTTGAACCCAAGGACGAAGAGTTGGCCGCTGCCTTATCAGGAGTAGTGTGAAGCAGGGTGGCAGGTGTCTACGGGAAAACACTCACTTCACTTTTTGTTGCCTGAGTCTCTCTCCCAGGAATAGCTAGTCTTTAGCTGAAGCATGTAACATTTTAGTTATGACATGTAAAATACTCCACTTCCAAGACTTGGCTTTAACTCTTTGTTGTTCATTACAAAATAGTGGGGGAAAGTTAGAACATACAGACATAGAAAGAGAAAATAATCCATAACTAGTTCATCATCGGAGGGTAACTACTGTTAATATTCTTTTAAGAATTCAAATTCTGGGGACTGAAGAGATGGCTCAGCAGTTAAGAGCACTGGTTGTCCTTCCAGAGGATCTAGGTTCAATTCCCAGCATCCACATGGCAGCTCACAACTGACTCTAACTTCACTTCCAGGAGATCTGATGCTCTCACACAGGCATACATACAGGCAAACCACCAATGAACATGAAATATAGATAGATGATAGGTAGATAGATAGATAGATAGATAGATAGATAGATGATTGATAGATAGGTAGATGATAGATAGATAGATAAATAGATAGATAGATAGATAGATGATAGATAGATAGATGATTGATAGATAGGTAGATGATAGATAGATAGATAGATAGATAGATAGATAGATAGATAGATAGATAGATAGATGACTGAGAGATATATAGGTAGATGATGGATAGATAGATAGATGATAGATGGACAGATAAACAGACAGACAGAATTCGAATTGTGTGTGTGCAGTATATGCATGTGTGTGCTTGCCCATGTGAACATGTGTGGAGGTTAGAGGTTAACGTCAGACATCTTCCTCTGTCACTCTGCAACTTGCTTTCTGAGACAGGGTCTCTCGATATTTCGGCTTGACTGGCCAGTGAGTCCCCAGGATCCCTTTTCCTCTAGCACGAGGGTTCCAAATGCGCCTTGGTGTCCAGCTTGTCCACGGGTGCTGGAGATCCAAACTCAGGCCTTCCCTGCAAGGACTTTACCCACTGAGCCATCTCTCTGGCCCCACCCGATATTAACACTTTTGGTGAGTCTTGTTAATGGGATTTTATTCCTTTCTGTTTGGTTTGTTTGTTTGTCAAGACCGTGTTTCACACACCCGGATCAGCCTTGAAGTCCTGATTCTCTCACCTCCACTTTCTGAGGGCTAAGGTTGCAGGTTTGTATTGTGTGTGCGTGTGTTTTTAAGTCACATGGAACTTGACTGCCCATCTCTCAAAAGCTACCATACTCACGTCACCAGACGGGGGCAGGTCATCGGTAAGAGCAGAGGGGTTGCCCTTCCCACAGAACAGTTTAAGAGTCGACGGAACTGAGAGACAGTAGGACTTGCCAGAGTCAGGGGGTTGGGTCATGGGTTAGATGCTCCCAGAAAAGATGTCCCACCCTGAGGCTGGGACAGCATCAGAATTCAGGATCCCGGGTGGGAAAGCTCTCAGGGCCATGTCTTCCCAATTTATTCACTCTAAAAAGTTCTAGGGAGTGGCTCTCTGCCTCCCACAGAGGCGACAGAAAGGACCAGCAAAGTGTGTGACATCTCCAATCGGCCCACCTCCGTCCCCTCTCCAGGGTTCTGCCTGTGACCTGCGGCAGAATTTCTCGCTGACTGTGGGACAAAGTGTTTCTGTTGGCCCGCAGCTTCCACAGTTCACGAGGCTGGTGGCTTATCTCTCGAGATAGGCACTCCCGGAGCTGGCATCCCACACTGGTGTGCAGTCAAGTCATGCAGAGTCAGCACTCAGCAGTGTACAGAACAGTCTGCAAACCTGTCCAGAGTCCACGGTCCCTGCCACAAGCCAGGAAGCAAAGAGATCTACAGCGTGGTCTGAAAAGGCTGTTTGTTAGAACTTATGCTCTCTCTCTCTCTCTCTCTCTCTCTCTCTCTCTCTCACACACACACACACACACACACAAAACTGTACCCCTAAGAGAGAACAGTATCAAACCCATAAGCAAGGAAAACAGGATCCACAATCTACAATAGATCATTTTAATTTGCGTGCCTACAAGCACATGTATGGAGATGTCTACACACCTGTGTGCACATACAGAAGCTGGTAAAAGATGTTGGCTGCCCTCCTCTGTCACTCTCTCTATCTATTCCCTTGAGGCAGCGTCTCTCCCTCAACCTAGGGCTTGTGTGTTCTCTGTTAGTCTGGAAGTCAGCAAACCCTAGTGATCCTCCTCACTCTCTGTCACACCCCCACCCACCGTGGAGTTGGGGTTACAGGCATTCGTGGGGCATCCAGTTTGTTATGTGAGTGCTGGAATAGAAAGCCCAGTCTTCTTAGTCAACACTCTTGACCAACACACACACCACACACACACACACACACACACACACACCATGTTAGATTTTGTGAAATGGTCTGGGGAGATAGCTCAGCCACGAAAGTGTTTGCCTTGCAAGTACAAAGACGCATGTTTGATTCCCAGAATGCATGTTACAGAAATCTGGGCAGCAGAGCCCTCCTAGGACTGGGGAGGTGGAGATGGGTGGATCCCTGGATCTTATGGGCCAGTCAGCCTAGCTTAATTGATGAGTTTTAGGCCAATGCCTAAGGAACAACAGGAGTCCTCTGACCTCCATACACAAGAGCATACATACACACACACACACACACACACACACACACACACACTCATACACTCACACACACACACATACACTCAGACACACACACATTCACATACACACACTCACACACATACACTCACAAACACATTCACATACACACACTCACACACACTCACTCACACAAGTTTGAAGTGGGCTGTAGGTGTTCTTTGTTCATCGTAAGAGACATCAGCATCACAGATAGGCCCAACCAGGGAAACAGACCTGGCACTGAACTTTCAGAATGAATTACATACTTTCTCTCCTCCATCTTTTTCTTCCTCTGCACCGTGAGGTTTGGCATCCTACCTACACAGTACTAAACTAAAGCTAACGCTCAGGGAATCCCAGTGTGACAGAGTCTGGCATGTCCTTCAGAGGTTTCTAGTCTCCCCAGAACTCCAAGAGAACTCTCACCCACAAAGAAAACTTCTTCAACAGGTCTGGTGACTCCCACTGCTCAAGGTAGCCCAGTCCAGCGTGGGCATGCCGGGTTGTCAGAAAGCCATTCCTCAAAGAATGGCAGACGCCCAGCCCCTGAGGTTAGCCCTGGGACAGGGAAATGCTTTCTGGAACATACTGACCCAACGCTGGGCTTTCCTGCACATGATCCTGGAGGGCAGATCTGTCCTACTGAGGCTGCTGGTGACCCTTCAGACCTCTGTCAACCCAAGAAACAGGTCCTGGAAGTCTTTGAAACCTTGAAGAGACAAAACAAACACAAAAGCAAAACCCCAAACCTGCAGAACCCAACGCTGTGTGTCCAGCATGTTTCTTCTGATGCTCAGCCTTTTCTCAGCTGGGTTCTGACCTGGGTGGGCATTCTTGCTTTCACGGGTTTCTTCTTCTAATTATAAAAGCGGGGCCGGGAAGAAGGCTCAGCTCTTGCAGGGGACCTGAGTTCGGTTCCCAGCACCCACATCATAACAGCCCACAACTCCCTGGAACTCCATCCCCTGTGAGCACCCGCACTCACAAGCGTGCGCGCACGTGCACACACACACACACACACACGCGCAGAGTTTTTTGGTTTTGTTCTTTTGTTTTTCAAGACAGGGTTTCTCTGTGTAGCCCTGGCTGTACTGGAACTTGCTCTGTAGACCAGGCTGGCCTCGAACTCACAGAGATCTGCCCACCTCTGCCTCCCGAGCACTGGGATTAAAGTCATGTGCCAGGGGCTGGAGAGATGGCTCAGCAGTTAAGAGCACTGGCTGTTCTACTAGAAGACCCAGGTTCATATGGGTCTGTATGTATGCCATTTGAGAGCCATATGGCAGCTCACAACTGTCTGTAACTCCAGTTCTAGGGAATCAGATACCTTCATACCAATGCACATAAAATAAAGTTAAATAAAAGTCATGTGCCAAAACTGCCGGGTCGCATATGCAGAATTTTTAAATGTCAGAAATAAAAAGAAAGAAATTACATTTTATAACTATTGACATAAAGACAAATATATCAAATATATAATAAACTATTTTATTCCACTTTAAAGTATTTTTCTCTTCCTTTCTTCTTTGTTTTACATGTGTGTGTGTGTATGTGTGTATTTGTGTGTGTGAGAGAGGGGGGTATTGGTGTATGTACATTTATGTGCAGGTGCACACTCAGCACATAACCAGAACACAGAACAGGATGTTATGAGTCCTGTCCTATCACTCTCTACCATATTCCCTAGAGATAGGGCCTCTCACTGAATCCAGAGGTAGGCTGGCAGTCGACACGCCTCAATGATCCTACTGTCCCCATTCTCCAGAGAGCTGGGGTTAGAGGTATGCATTCAGCTATTTCAGATTTTTTATGTGGGTTCTGGGGATTCAAACTCGGGTCCTGTGCTGTACCAGCTTTCCTACCCACTAACAAGTCTCCCAGCCCCAAGGGTTTTCTTTTCTCTTGTTTAAAGACAGGACTGCCATGTGTCCAAGGCTGACCTCTAGAGTGCTGGGATTACAGGCATGTGCTACCACACCCT